TTTTTTTTTTTTTTTTTTGTAGAGCAAAACAAAGGTTTAGAAGAATTAGGTAAAGTTATTGCAAAACAAAAACAAATTGGTCAGACCATTAGCGACGAAGTAGATCACCAAAATGGTAAATTAAACTTAATATTATTTATTCTTTGTTAATTTATAGATGTAAGATTCATCTTTTAAGATTTTCTATTTTTATATAGAAATAATCAGCAATCTAGCTGATCACATGGATACAACAAACAAATCGATAGTTAATAAAACACAGCGTATAATAATAATTGATTCGAAAAATCATATATGTTGTTACTGGGTAGTAATAATTTTTCTTTTTATTTGTATTATCACAGTTGCCTTAGCTCTGTAAATTTTAACGTAAGTAACTACTGTATAAAAACGGACAGATATTTTTTTTTAATGTAAATTAATTCTGTATATACGTGTAAAAATTTCATTCTTACAAGTTAATGTATTAATGTATTTTTTGACTATATATTAAGTCAGTATTTTGTTTTATATATCATATAAAATATATTGTAATTATCAACAGGAACATAAAATAAATTAAAATAAATATTTTAATTCATGATTAGAATCTCGCCTTTTGCATCATTAAAGCTGTATATAATAATGTTGTAATGAAATCAACTTTTCTAATAGGAAATAAAATTTTTTTCATTATTTATCTTTATACAAATTACATTTCATTTTTTTTTAAATGTAAAGTTTTTTTAAACTGGGTTATTAGTACGCTTTAACATACTACATTTTGTGTCTAGTCCAAGATCTTTTAAAAGTGCTTTTGGATTAGGATCTCTTCCAGTGAACTTTCTGAAATTCTCATTTGTAGAACAAGTACCACCAAAAGATATAAATGATTCGCGATATCTTCTACCGACTTCCTCCAACGAGTCTTTATTCTTATTAGAAATGCTTTGAAAAACGCTGTACAAATCAGCAGCAATCATTTTTGACCATAGATAGCTAAAATTAAAATTATATTGTTTTAACATTTTAGTGAAACACATATTCCAACATTATACAATGTCATTATACCTGTAATAAGCAGCTGCCCATTGTCCACTAAAGATAGCATCAAAAGAACAAATATGACTGTCTCTTTTATACGCAGGAAATACAAAATATTTTTTCCATAAGCGAAGCATTATATTA